GATATTGAAACCACATTGGCTGTATTTCATGCAAGCAAAACAGATGGAGAAGATGGAAAGAGAATGACAGTGATAGAGAGTGGGAAACGAGTAAGAAAGGGAACAAGAGACGAAAAAAACTTACGAACAAAGAACGAAACTATGCAAATATTTATGTTGAACAGCTTCATTAAACTTCGAGAATGGATAAACGAAAGCTATTTATTCAATACATGACATCTGAATGCGCTTCGTATACGAAAAATATTGAAATATTTCTCATGATTCAAGCCATCAGAGAGATATTGAGTATGATTAGTTGGAAAATATGATATGCTTTGCATGAGTGCAAAATGCCATCGTCGAAAAATAGATAGATTTTACTGTCTTCCAAAATTTTGTCTCTATTTCATCCATATGGCTTTGATGTAACCAGCAGAAAAAGTGTTCCGTTTCAATAGCACCGAATACTGAACAAAAAGTAAATACATATATGAAATTCCACAAAACTTTTTTGCCAGTGGTTTTTTTTTTGCTCTTCTCTGGTGGCTCCTTTTTTTTCCAAACTCTTTCGTTGAAACCACACCGTTGCATGCACCTTGTTTACGGTGGCATCATTATCGATTCGGATTTACGTATGCACAAAATGTATATGTGAAACGAATGTGAGCATGCATTGAACACTATCTATTTTACATATTTTGTAAATATTTTGAATGAAGATTTTGTATGTGTGTGTATGTGTCATTTCGCTTGAAAGCATTTTGTGTGATCCTGCATTTTACTGTTCCTTCTTCTCGATGCGAGAGAAAAAAAAAATGAATGTGACTAAAAGTATATCAACATCATTTGCCTATGGCAACAGTACAAAGAAACATAATAAATTTTGATTACATTGATGACGCTCTTGAAAAGTTTCCGCACACAGATTCGTGATCGAAAATATCCGTTAAATATTTTCCTCTCTCTTTCTTTGTCGAGCAACGAAAAAACACACAGAGCTTTCAATATGAAATTTATTTGCTGAGTATCGAAACAAAATCGGCGCAAGTTTGAAGGAGTTTCTTCTGTCTCTTTTTTCCATACTGTGGGAGTCCTATGGAATCAACACATGCTCAATGGCAGAAGAGTGGAGTGAAACAAAATTCGTCGACTTATTTGTGTGCATAAACAACGAAAAATAGAAAAAAAAATGTATCTAATAATCGTTATCAAACTTCTCAGCCCATTTATTCATTCATCGCTCGAGTCCTCTGCAAACATAAAATGGACTTGAGAATGGAAAAGCTCATATTTTGCGGAAATATCAACTGATATAGGTTTTTTTTCTCGATATGACTGACTGTACTGTTTGTCACTCAGACTGAATTGTATAAGCTATATGCCCCGATAAACGATCTATTTTTTGCTCGGCACAAAACATCAAACGACACATAAGAAAACGAAACTTTTAGCTCTCGCACTCGCTGAATGATGGTTGTTGTTGAAGCAGTGTCGTCATCGTTATTCAACATTGGCATTAGTTACGATTTTATTTATGAAATATTCAAGCATATAGTTGTGTGACAGTGTACAAGACAAACTCTGACAAAGTTGCCGAGAATATTACATTCAATCCAAAAGCAAATAGACTTTGGAAAATGTTTTATTTTTGTTTGACAAAACTTATTGATTTACTCTCGCTCGCTCGCTCTCTCTCTCTCTCTCTCTCTCTCTGTCGCTCATTCGAAAGATGTGTAATATTGACGGTTTGTGTTCATGCATATTTCAATTTGGTACGGAAATTGTCGTCCTTGTAATAAATAGCCAAATTTAAATGCGGTCAATCTCATTGGAAAACAAAACTTAATTGCGAATTCCGGTCGACCGAGACCATTCCTGCATGTTGTGAGCAAGTTTTCTCTGACTCTTCTGCTTTTTTCTTCGATGTGTCTAGCAAGTTGTGTTGTATTATCTGCTATACATTTTGATGTGGCTGGTGTATTCTTTGTGTAAGATTCTTTTGGCAAAAGACTTTTGCTCTGTGGTTTTATGCGTTTATTTGTTTTCATATCGTTTGTGGCTTTTGTTATGCTTATTGTTAAGATGAATGGGTATTCCATTTGGTATTCAATCATCGGCAAATAGAATAAAGAACGATCGATTTCGAGCCCAAACAAGATTAACATAATAATGGCGGACGCTTTTATGACTGGATCGCCTACATGCCCCCAAAAGAAACAACTTAATCAGTATTCGAAATTAAATTAATGATAGAAATATTGGTTTTTCAGCAATCGACCATGATGTATAATGTGATGCGCGCTGCTGTGCGTTTTGTGTAGACACATCGAGATATAATAAAATCATTCTGAGCTTTTTCGTTCTCTGACACACACTCACCAAATACTCATTTATTATTCGAGCATTTATCGAACGCTATGCGCTGTTGAACAACGACCGTGCATGCTGCAAATGAAATACGATACATAATTTTTTGTTCTCGGCTAGTTTTTGCACATTCACTCTCATGCTGTCGCCAATTCGCAACGGGAGAGTGAGAGTGTGTGGCGAAAACGTTGTGCCGAATATTAGATATCGACGCACATAAACAAGGTTCTTTGTTGCGGTATAACGTTCATAAAAATGCTGACAAAAAGTGTTTATCTGAATAATCTGTGCCATGGAATATCGACACTTTCCGAGTTGTGTGTGTACTTTTTCTCTTTCGCTCTCGTCTTTTGGTGCCAAAAACGAACATCATTGTGTATCGATTGGGAAAACGAAATTCCTTTCACGTCACATTAGATTTTCCAATCTATGGATTATGGTTGCGTGTCGATGTTTGTGTGTGTGTGCCTGCCTGCGGATCAGATCAATGCTATTCGATGGGAGATAGAAAGAGAGATATCGAGAGCGAGAGAGCTCGCTCTGGGTGTTTGGTGTGGATAAGCGTGCAAATCGATTTCACTTGACTGGATGAATGCTGTACAAATCGGCTGTTATCAATGTCAAAATGATAGATCCAAGGCCCCACACAAATCTCTATGAATCCATGCTGATATGCCGATGCCGTTGTAGTCGTAGTCGTCATCATCGCAGGCCAAAAACGAAATATAAAAATAAATGTATGCGAATAATCAAAATCATACTCACATCGGCACGATATGTTGCAAAAGTTCTCACACATTAGGCATGTAAAAATAACATCAATAAAATATCGATACATGGAACCAGGGAAGGAGAGAGAGAGGGCGAAAACAGAAATGTGCGTCAACAATAACAATGTGAATTATTTGATTTAAGGACGGATATTCTCGCATATTTTCACTTTGTATTCAGGCACAGCGAATGTCAATAGTCATCTAACGATACACTCACACACAAGCACATTCTGCGATGGTGAAAATGAATAAAGAATGGATTTTTGGCCTCTGGAATTTCCGCAATCTATAATAATTCAGTAGCTGTGTATATTTCGGTTCGGCATATAGCCTTATTTTGGAATTCCAAACATCCGCTTCCTTTGCAATTCACACGTCTCGATCGACTGACTATGCCCCCCTCCCCCCGAAATGATAATAGCTATGCTTGCAATGTAAACGCAAATAAAAAAGAAGAAAATGCGGCTTTAATCTGGTGCTGTTTGAATATATTTCAAAGCGATATCAAACATCACAGAGTAGAGGGATACATAGAAAGGATTTCATGAACAAAACACCCAAAGTACAAACACCGTAAATTGCTATGAAGAACTTCGCAAGAATTTATTACGTTGAAATAGTTATAATAGGTTTTCTGCGTGTGTTATGTCATTACGTCGGCGATCAAGCGAGTCGGTTGTTTCGTTCGCTCGTCGATGCACTTGTGCGGGCAAATGACACTCATTTTCGCAAAAACTATTACTATACCGAGACTACATTGTTTTTGGTGGCCTAGTGGTTACGAATCTGTATTTTGAAAATCACAAAATAAATAGGTTAGTCGGCAGAACGAAAGAGAGACACACACACACACACACAGACACACTCTCACAGTGAACTCAGGATTGTATACACTCCGTACACAAATTTCTGAAACAAGGCATAGAAGCATACATAATAAGCAAATGCCGTTCACTTTGCACAAAAGTTTGATTTCCGTTAATCTTAAGTAGTGCACATTTTCCGAGCCGGATATGTAACTTGAGCACACACATAAACTACTTTTGATCCATGAGCCATGCATACTCTTCTTCTCTCTCTCTCTCTCTCTCTCTCTCTCTCTCTCACTCGCTTCTCTTTAGCTAAACTTTGACTACAGCCCAAGTAACGTTCGCAATGGAATGGCTTGGTTTGTATTTTGCGAGAGCACACTTTTCCTTCTTCCCTTTTATCCGGTGCTTCGAGTTCTTGATGGGAAAAGCAGGAAAATATTTATTGTGTTTTCATTTAGTTTTTGCCTTTGTGAAGCACTCAACTGTGCGTTTACATGCAATTTATACAAGACAGCGAGTACAGTGTGATTTCTGCCTTGTTAATATAGCAAATGCAGACTGAGACTTGCTCTCGCTATGTGTATGAGAGTTTGTGTGTGTGTGTCACGAATTTTCAGTGAATGAATGTATGTAGAGAGAAAAGTGATGCAAATGCGCCTGTGTTCGGTTCATAAATCGAATGGAAATGCAATTGGTCCCTCAGGAAATGTTTCGTGTGCTCGTTCGTTCGTTCGTTCGTTCGTGTTGTTGCTGTTCGCTGCAATAATGATAGATCAACATGCAAGATAGGAAATTTCCATAAAACAACGGAATACACAATAAATTCCGTAACAAAGCGATTTTTTGCTCTTTCTCTCTCTTGTGTATGTATACGTTTCGGTGTTTGAGTATATAATTTCAGGAGTGAGAAAATTTTGGGTTTTCTCCATTGGCTTAAATAAATCGAATATGGGTCAATAAGCCAGGGCCGCATTTTATTCAGAATCCCACCAAAAAATAATGCATTCAAATTCACAACTAAATTAAATCATGTTAACATTCTCTGTCTCTTTTTGTTCCATTGCAGACTTACCACACCGTTGAATACGGGCCCTCAACAAATGTCACAAAACGACGTTGGTCCACACTGCCAAATTGGTGGCAATTCGCCGCTAGTTATGCCTGGATTTCCGCTACGTTCATCACATTCAGTGCATACACCACATTACTCGCCATATTCACCGTCAAGGTAAGCGAATTGAACAAAAAACAAACAAAATAAAATGAAGCACCGACAGCACCGGAACTGAGCTATAATCCAATCCAAATTGGTATGCAGCTCAGCGCTCTCAAGGTGATCTAAAACGTCATCTTGAGAGTTTTTTGTGCTGTTGCTGTCGTTGTTGCTGTCGTTGTTCCCCATAGATGATCGACATTGGTCTCTCGTTGAAAGTGTCTCCTGATGGTACAGGCAAACATTTTGCGAAATGCTGATGCACCGAAAATGCCTTAAATCATTTATTTTTGTATATGCTGGTCGAAATGAACACAAACACCACCACCACCACCACCATCATCATCACCACCTCTCCTTCAATTTGTTTGCATAAGTTTTGCCTGGAAAACCTAATATTCCTTTTATGATTATTGCCGTTCCATGGTATATACTTGCACTGTACAGTGCTGTGCTGTGCAATGAACAGCAAGCATAACGCTCGAATGACAGCAAAGTTTACCATTTCTCGCTTTTTCCTTATTGTGCACATCATTCCTCGTAATGGAAACGATACGATGGTAATGTAATAACAAGAACATACGAACAAAATGACATACTTTCTTGAAGCTATAACATTCGGGATGTGGACGTCGAAGACGACGGCGACGAGAATGCGGTGTGTGAGTGTGTATGTGTATGTTGTTTGCAGTCGAATGCGCTTTCCACTTTCAGTGTCTGTACTCCACCGCAAATATTATTATCATCATAGAAACACAAGTAATCGTACCAACGAATATTATTTATTAAGCATTTGTGTTAAGCCACTATAGAAATGAAATCGAGAAATAAAAACCGCTCCTCCGCTCCCAGCTCAAACGAGAATGCGAACGAAAAAGGCGAAAACGAAAACGAAAACGAAAGAAATTGCACAACGAAATAAAATCCAATTTAGTTGTGTTTTATTAAAATATTAAATATTTATGGTGCACATTGTTTCTGTGAAGCGAAAGAGAGCTTGGCTCTTAAGTCTCTGAAAATGCTTTTTATTGCAAAGGAAAATGAAATATATATGTAAGTGGATGGGCAAAGGCGATGGAGGTTGCGGGCGGATGTGAATATAGAGGGATAATCAGAAAGAGATAGAGAAAAAGCGAAAAAGAAGTCTCAAAAGAGTTAGACTTCGGAATTGCTTCAGTTTGAATTGATCGGAATTCTGTAGAGGCGCTGAGATTGGATTCGTATGAATATTTCAGCGAATGCCAGCGTGAAGGAAACAATTGTGTATTCTATAAATAAAAATGATAATAATAAATAGCAATTATTCGCTGGCAATGAGTTATTATGTCGATGTTTGGAGGAAAAAAAGCTGTATATGCTGTATACAGTTATATGTACAGCTTAAATGTGAATGAAGGAAAATTCAATTTCCTTTTCGGATGCTTACACACAGAAAAGAATCCCCGGAAATTTAAGGTGTTCGCCGTAAAATTTGACATTTATATATAAATTTCTATGTACATTTTACCGGCAACACTTGAATTTTCCGGGCGATGACATAATTTCAAATATTCCAACAGAAATTAGCGCCATCTGTCATTTCAAGCGGTAAAATATATATAGTATTTGATAAAATGTTCGAAAATATGTCATCGCCCGGAAAATTGAAGTGTTGCCGGTAAAATGTATATAGAAATTTATATATAAATGTCAAATTTTACGGCGAACACCCAAAATTTCCGGGGATTCTTTTCTTTGTGTACATTTTTGTGGCTGCCATAATGAAATACCAACAAAAAGCACACATCAAAACCAATGAACATACTCACATTACGGATTCCGATTCAATCGTCGGTGGCAATAAACGGGCCAAAATGAAATACACTTTGTGCCTGGCGCTGGAATTTTTCACCAGAAAATACTAACACATCACACGAATCCAAACACTCCAAAGGGATTTGAGAGTTGAAGTTTTCGCTTTTATGAAAAGTGAATGAATTTGCGCATTCGCTTGCCCCTCATTTGAATCACATATCTCTGACTCGCTCGCTCACACACTCTCTCTTTCGCTCTGTGCCGTCATCTAAATTCAAAATATCACATGAGTAATACATATTTAAATAGTTTTCTGAGAGTGATTCTCTTTTTCATTTCAATTACAGCCCAGATTCCTTCAACCATTATTTTCGAGCAGCGTATGTATACATATATGCTAGCTGGACTTTTTTTCATCTCTCTTTCTATACATTGAAACTAATGTGTGTGTGTGTGTCTGTGTGTGTGTTGCAGAGAACTTTTTAATAAGCTTTTTTGGACGTCTTTTGATGATGACGATGCCATAGAAAATAATACCAATCCTGGGGGCTTGATGATGAATTTTCACTTGATTGTAATATCAATTATTCACAAGTTTTCACAAGTGAAAATAACAAAATAATCTGTACGCATTTACATGTGCAATCCGATCAACATCCATTCGAATACAATATGTACAGAATGTTTGTCGGAGTCTTCGGAGAGCAAAACTTATCATGGGATTACAGTTAATTTTAATATTCGAAGCCATTCTGCTTGATTTTCGTGAAGCCAAGTGTACTCCAATTCAATGGAAAATTAATTATTCGATTCGACTATAAAATGAATCAATTTTTTCCACGGAAAATCATAAACAATGAATTCTCCGAGAAAAAATATTTGATTTGATGCGAGAGTAAAACCGTTCTCTCTCTCTCTCTCTGTCGCTTGACTCAGCTCTCATCCATCACGAGCGCATTTCAATGAATTATTTTTGATTGAAATGAATTTCCTGTTACATCAAAAAATGAATTTGCACAGAGACCACCTCACAACAGCAACAACAATGATGAAGAGGAACAGAGAAAGAGAGAGATTTCATCAAAAATGGTTAGTTTGTTGCATGCGCCAGTTGAAATTTAATTTTGCATAGCAAACAGTTAGATGTATTGTTTGCGTTTGCATTTCTCAAACCCATCAGGTATTTTCTCGAGTGTTAGCTAACGAACCACATTTCGCCGTGATAAAAAATGGGACAAACAACAACAAACTGAGCTCCTTCGTTTTAGCCGAACGATGCATCCAACGGCAGAAATTATTATCTTTATATTGTTATTGTATGGATTAATTTTCAATTTTGACCATTTTCCCTCTCATTCTCTTCACTCACTCACACTCCTTATCTTTTCGTTTCGGTATTTTGCAGGTTTCACATAGACAAGCGATGTCAACACAGGTGCTCTTGGAAATGTTTTAGTTTTGCCTTAATTTTCGTAGCTGTTATACTTGCTGCTATGTTGGCCTACTTTGCCGGTAAGTCTACATTTTCAATTCAATTCAATTATGAATTTGGCTTTTTTTTGCTGCTGCTCCAGCTCTGAGTTAAGTGTTAGTCAATGGTGTTCGGTCTCTTTTGTTTTTCCACAATTTTGTGAATAAAATTGAATTTTTTGTTGAGTAAATTGAATGAAATTGAATAGAGAGAAATTGATTAGAATAGCATATTCAAGCTTTGGGATAAAACGTGCACCATTTTATTTCGAAATTACATTTAATTAAAATGAAAACTACAGTTTAATGTTTGCAATTGAATTACATTTTCAACAATGTTTTGAAGTGAAAGCAAAAGAGAGAAGTAGAGAAAAAAAAATTGGCAAAATTTTCGTTGCCGTATTCCCGCTGTTTGAGTTAAGAACAATTGGTTCATCTGTCATTTTCATATGTTTTAAACGAAATGGTTTTTTTTTCATCCTTGTCGTTCGCATTGCGATTGCATTGAAAAGGGAAGTGTAGCCTTTGTTTCACTGAACAAATTTCGACTCAGAATCCAGTGAGTTTTGGCGTTTTTCTGTTATCGGCCATGCCATACTGCTCCAACAACGTTTGTTGAACGTAGTGAACGAGCGCCTGTGTGTATGTGTACTACAAAAGCGACACCGAGAATTCCCTGCGAGTTGCATTGCATTGAGCCAAGTATGCGGCAGAGCAAAAAAAAAAATAAATAAGTTGGCCATTGTCTTCGGGTTGAACCAAAATCGTGCAATAAATTTTCATTTATCAGTTCGTTTCTGGACTGTTCAGTATGCGCAGAAAAAACCAAACGAACTGTGAAAAAAGAGATGAATGCATTTTCTGATGATTTCTCTTTAAGCGACGCATTTTGCAGACGGAAATTGGGTCAATGCATTTACTGGCTGTGAGGAGAATGTTTTTTTCGCTCTCTCTCTCTCTCTCTCTCTCTCTCGAAATTCAAACGCACAAAGAAACGACACAAAGATAGATGTTTGGCAATGGTAATAGTTAATTTTCCATGCCGTCGAAGAAAAATGCGTTCTTTTTTGTCTCTGCCTTGACCCTCTCTTTCTTTAACTCTTCGTCTCACGACCTTTTTCTCTCCCTCGTTTCTCTTCCTTCGATCTCCATGAAAGGCTTGTTTTTGCGACTTTCATTCCATGAGTGAGTGCATCCAAGAATGCAGCTCGTTTGGGCATTTCGGTCTCTTCATCTTCTTGTTCCATTGAATGTACATTTATCTTCACTAAAACCGATTTTTCTAGTTGCTGCCAGAGACGTTTTGCAGTCCAAACTTTCATTATGTTCTCGCTAATTTTTTTTCTTCTTCTTCTCGTGCCTGCCATTGAGCATTTTCCTTATCACACGGGCAGTGCATAGTCTCAGGGCAAAAAGACGCAACTTGAAAAGAAACACATACACACAAAGACTAGCTTCTTGAGTGCCGAGGAAAAAAGAGACAATGAGCGAGAGAAGAAAGAAGGAGAAGAATAATTCCTTTTAAGTGAAGAAAAAATAGCTAATTAGAAGAAATGAAAGAGGAAAAATGGTAAATGTGTTTAAAAGCAGAATGCTTTGGAAATTGTTTGTGTGTTGAACGTGACACGTACGCATCGAGCGAGAGAGAGGGAGAGAGAGAGGGAGAGAGAGAGAGAGAGAGAGAGAGAGAGAGAGAGAGAGAGAGAGCGAGAGGCGGGAAGTTGCAGTACGGCTACTATTTTCGATGGCGAACAATGCTTTGAGCACTTTCAACCGATTGTGTCTGCTTTGTGTATCTGCTCTCTCTTGCTCTCTCAATCACTCTCTTGCTCTTAGCCATTCCAGCGTCTTTCTCGTTCCATGTCTGCTGTGCTGTTCAGAAAGAGAAAAGTTCGACCAAACTCCAACAAAGTTCTTTTTATTTAATTACCCTCGGTTCGGGAAATGAAAGAAAAATTATTTAAATGAAAAAAAAAACAAAAATTGTACGCTTTGTTCGCAATAGTGAGAATCTGCTGTTTTCCGAAGTAATTGTGCAGTCGTTCCAACAAATGGCTCACAGCTGACAGAGAAAAAAATTCGGTTGGAATAGGTTCCTTTTCTTTCTCTTTCTCTCTTCGTCTCGATGAAAAAATCCTTAAATTCGTCTATTAACTATTGCCAAAATGGGGAAGTAGTCTTAATATCTCGAGTGGTTGTAACAAGCGGCAACAAGAGTGGAAAAACAGCAGTAACAAGCAAAAAAAACGGAACGGAACAAACGAATTCAAAGTTGAATCGAAGAAGAAGAAAGAGACGAAAAAAAAAATTGGTGACAAAAACACGACTTTCACTCGATTTTTTCCGCTTTGACTGCATTCGACTTAATAGTTGCGTTTTAGGTTTCTTTTCCTTTTTTTCCCTCTTATTTGCTCAATACCCAATGCTCATTGTCACTTTAAGCTCTTGCAAGCTAGTTTCAATTCATGATGCCTCAATGGAACAAACACGCCGAGTGAGAGAGAGAAAAAAAGAATATGGAAGATAGTCTCTCTGTAAAGAAACAATTCTCGAATTGGCACATAAATTCTGTTTATTTTGCCGACATTCCAATTTCTATTGAATTGCGTGTGTTCGGCTCGATATCGAGAGTTTGGTGCTTATAAATTATTTGGCCCATTCACGTTTTTTTTTCTTCATCGCTGGACGCTGCTGTGAGTGAATCGATTCGGTGATATTGTTCCGCGTAAGCGATTCCAGCTGAATATTTCACTTGCAATCGTTTCGATGATGCCATTTTGACTGGCAATCCGGTTATAAATTAGACTCATTCAACGAGAAAGCGACGAATAAATTTCTAAACGAGCACACAAATCAATGACATCGCAACGTACACTCGCACACACAAACACACACAAACACACACTCAGTGTGTGACAATGGAAATGGCTCATTCGAAAAATGGCCAACTACTTAAGGACATAAAATCAATATTAACCACCATCCATTGGATATATTATGGAATCGTTTCGCAATGGCTGAACTAGCTTGCAAAATGGACACATCCACTATGGCGCACACATTTGCGTCGTAAAATTGTTATCAAAAATGGCAATGGGTGTGAATGAGCGCCGTTCGGGTTTTCCATTGAGCAAGGGCAGCGGCAGCGACGACGATGACAGCAGCAGCAACATGAATGCCGATTGTTAATCGTCTGTCGTAAAAATCATCTGTGCTCGCCATTCAATATATGTATCTATTGTGCGATAATTTTCGATAATGATGGCGACAGTTGATTAGAGTTTTGGATTGGCCATTGTTGCACATAAATGCTGACACAACGACTCACCAGTGTCTTCTTCTTCTTCGATTCATTCTCGCTCCTCTCCTACGTTTTTTTCGTGCTTTTTTCAATTATACGCTCTAGCCACTTAGCATTTATGAATGTTGTCGCAAAGCGAATCAAATATTAAAAATAGTTATCTATAATGGACCATCCAATGTATCGCATCAGCCCATTTATGCTGCTCAAACGGAACGGAATAAACAAAGAGAAGCGAAGAAAACCAAATTGCGCTCTCGTTTAATCGAGCCGATTTCAAAAACAATAACGCTTCATAATAAAATAGGAGTCGACTTTCGTCGTCATTGCTGGTGTTTTTTTTCGCTTCTTCGTTCTGCTTGAGTAAAATGTCAATAACTGGTGGTGCGGCTAGCTGTAGACATAATCCATCTCTTTCGCATGATAATTTGACAGCATGACACGATTTGGCACATTTCTGGACTACAACTAATGTGGGAATATGTTGAATGGAAAAAAGAAAGGGTTTTTTTCATCCATCCAAGTCATGATAAGCTTAAGTACTGAAAGCGAACCTCTATAATGTTTAATTCAAAAGCGAATGACTACGCTGTGCTCGTCGCTCTTGTTCTTCTTTTTGTCTGACATCAACAGCTTGCCATATTCCAGTCGGTCGACGGCATATTTCCATTCAGAGTAGCTTTTTCGCATTTCAAATCGCACCCACAAGGAAATGTCGGATAAAACACTCGGCACTTTCGCATAATTAGGATTATTCGAAATGTAATGCGCTTCTTTGACAGGCGCGCAAGCACAAACACATACACACACACGGATAGAGCGAGAGAGAGAGAGAGAGAGAGAGAGAGAGAGAGAGAGAGAAAAAGTGCACATCAAACGAAAATAATCTAATGGAAAGTTCAAATTATGACACATTTCTCTAAGTGCGACATTTTTAACCAATTTTACAGCTTCAAAGCGCGATTGAGTGAAAGAATCCAATTTGCTGGCTTGAAATATGCCGGATTTTTTCCAGCACAAAGATCTTCACACAAATGAATATATATATCAAATTTAAAATCCGCACTGGAATAAAAATGCATCTTTTTCGCTCATACTCACTCATTCGCTCTGTCAAACTCACTGCCCCACAATTCACAAGCTTTCACCTGCAATTGCCTGGGTAAAATGGTGCGCATTTTCTCTGCTGCAAAACCGGATTCCCTGTACGTACCGAAGCGAATTTGCTGAAACAAAAATTCAATGCAATGCATTTATCAACAGATGAAATATCGCAAACTTCCCAAAGAAATCGAAGCAAAGAAACGAAAAAAAAGACGAAGCGAAAAAAAGCATCGTTGTGAAGACACACACACCCACGAAATATGTATTTGCTACGTGAAAATCATAAATTTTAAAATTGGATTTATAAAAATGTATGAATTCGGGAAAGTATTATGCGAATGACTAGTTTGTGCGGGACAAGCAAGCGAGAAAAAGAGATGGAACGAGATGGAAAATGGCGTTTCGTCGGTTTGCTGAAATGGGATTTTCGAAAATCGAATCTCAACATAAATCTCAGCACGCTGAAAAAAAGCGACAAACAAAGAACAAATCCCATACAACTCCTATGAAAAAAGCTGACACATTATCAGAGAGGCGAAGAAAAGCGAGCACAGCACAGCGCTGCACACCGATGAACATTCTTGTTCATCCCATGGTGCATGTTTTCGTTTCGTATTAAAAATGTTTCCTCAATTCGTTGTTTCACAACGAAAAGAAAGACTTTTGGCATCGAGCGAACGTCCCGAACCGAACTTTGTCAAGATTTTCTTTGCTTACACATGCGAAGATACACTGGGAGAGAGAAAAGAAAGCGAACAGAACCAAGGAGACCAACAACAAACGAATACATAATGGTAATGGACGTATCAAATAACATTCAAGAAAAGAGATTCGTTTAAACAAGAAGTTGGCGAGTGACTACGGATCTTGTCTTGTTTTTCCCTAGGACGAAGTTGCTTTGGAAAAGTTTTCAGCTCGAATTTCACTCCTTAAATTAGAATCTTTTCTCTCATCTTTTTTATTCCTTTTCACTTTTGTCCGTTCGAATGTATCAAGCTACATAATTACAGCCATTTTGACGAATCACAGAGTGAATTTGTGTCTTTTTGAACTCATCATTTTGCGACCGGATTGCGCAATTTTGGGACGAATTGACTAACAAATCTCAAATGTCTGCTACATTCTTGCGCTTAAGTAGAAAAACAAGCAGCAAATATATTCGGCAGTATTCTATTCCAAGTATGTGTTGAGAGAAATGGTCAGAAAACATGAAGAAGACAACATATCAAATTACAAACTTTGATTTTATACCCAAAGTTACGCAATTCCATTAGATTTGATGGGTTCGACCGAATATCAACGTAAGTAACACACGAAATAGACATTTCGATCGTCGAGTACATGATGCATTCAAACGAATCATTCTAATCACTGCTTCTGTTTATCATAACCATCACTCCCCCTCCTTATGCATACGACGAAAAGAATAACACGGCATTTTTCCTCTGGATATTTTGAATTAATTTCACTCGATGTTGAGCATCGATTTTCAACGTTTCGCCACCGGCAACCACTCTCTCTATCTCCCGCTCTACTTGTTAACATTCTATTTGTGTAAGTTCATCTAAAAACAAATGCACACATTTCTTTCCGTGATAGAATTCGAGGAAAAAGTCGTGGGTCGAGAGATAAAGTCACTACGATTTTTTGGGGAAAAAACAAACTTAAGCAAAAATGGAATTGTCATAAATAGCAACGATGCTAGTGATGCGAAACCCGAATTGTAAATACATCATGCACTAGCTCATTGACAGAGTTAGCATTTTTGGCGTTGAATACACATGACCTCACGACGTTTTTTTCGCGTGCGATTTTTAGTTGGCTTCACGTTTTTCTTTCGTATGAATTCTCGCGTGCTTGCAAAATCCAGTTCACCAAGAGACTCATACACAAAAAATGAAGTCGGTTAGTGAAATTGAGTTCTTCCTTCCCTCTCAAAACGATAAGAAGACTCACAGATTCAGACGAAGCCAATGCAATGCAATGCGAAGCAGAATAAATAAAATTCATTGAATCGTCCAAAGTTTCAAGAATTCAACATCGGAATTTCAAAATGATGAAAACTTGAAAGCTTAATTTTATATTCCATTTGAAATCCAGTTGCACATTTCCGGTCATATTTCTTCTTCGCTGCATGCATTTCGTTGTTCATTGCTTGAGACAATAGTTGAAGCCCATTTTCAGTGGTTGCCTGAAATTGAAACTATCAGCATCAGATATTCTACAATCTGCTTATTATTTTACGTTCCATTATCATATTTATACGCTGAAAACCGAGAAAAGAATCGCCACAAGATTTTCAATGGTAAAATTCGTAGCTATGCCACGGACTTTATCTTGAAAACAATTTTTGCTCTTTGTGTTGCTAAAGTTCTGCGCTCAGCAAAGCTTATTCCATGAAAACAATGCAAACACTCACACAGCGCAAGCGAACGAGGGAGTGAGATGTGGTGGAAAACTTCAGCGAATAGTCTACTGTTCTATGCTTCGAACAAAACAAATGGTTGTGCGTGTGCACTTCTGTTGTTCGATGTGTACAAACAGCGAGTGGGAGAGAGAGAATGTGGTTGGTATTTAATATTCTTATGACTCGCAGTTTACTAATGAGAAATACTTTGAATTTTTCCATAAGTCATTCCGAAGAATATCAGCGTTTTTCCCCCATCATACCGAAAAGAGCATCCAAGAAAAAAAAATCAACGAAAAAAAAGCTTTGTATCTTGCTAAAATAACAACAACAGCAGCAGCGGCTACAATCATACAAAAAAAAGTCGCCAGAAGTTTGCCATTTTCGCTGCTGCCGCCATTCCGGCCCTGTCTCAATGTTTCTGAGCGTTTTAATAATATTTTTGCGAATAATAATAGAAAATGGGCAAAGCCAAATGCAAAAATTATACAAAATAACATAACGCAAGTGGAGAGGTTATGAAATGCAAACATCTTCTGTCTGTTTGGCTATTTATGATTTCTTATGGTTTCGTCATATTTTTTTCTACGTTCGCTTCGCTGTGCGCCAGTGTATGTGCGTTGTCGTCGACTTCATTAATACGTTTGGCGGCTAAGTAGCATCATTGGGCGATGGCATTTTGTGGAGTGTAACTACTGACGATGCTTTTGTTCTCTATCTGGCTCAGCTTTGTGGTTGTTAGAGCTAGTGGTTGTATCTTCATCTTAAATCCATATTCGTGCTGTTCCACATAATCATTGCAAAACCGCAAGAAAGGCGGAAAACATGAACACGCACACGCACACACAGAGATGCTTCTCGGGAACCAAACCAAATTGAGCGCCAACAAAATGCTTTCCAAATCTCGTACGAAGAGAGAAATGTATTCGCAACGAAAACTAATCCAGTTAAGGCGTTTGGCAACCATTCAACAACTGGTTTAAGCTTAATACATACACATACACCCAGAAACAAGTGAGACACACACATAGAGTTTGTAAAAAAAAGAAGAAGAAAAAAATCAAGCGACCAACATAAAAACGAAGAGCCATTTTAAGCTTCTGGCACGGTTCAATATAAACACTAATGCAAACACATAGATTAAATGCGGCCACTGAATGAGAATGCATGGCAATATGAGATAATGCAGACTGTGATTCTCGCAAAAGCCAACCCAAAGAACCAGTAGAAGTGGAGTAAAGATGGAAAATGGCAAGTTGGAGTTTGCCGGCGATTTCTTCGCCGTTCTCTGTTTGTGAAAGGCCCGAGCACTTGCAATGTGAATTAGGCGGAATTTTATAACACATTACATTATCATCCATTATGGTCGCATTGAGATTAGGACCGACTGAACTTATTACTTAAACATTTTGCTTATTCTGCTTCATTTACTTATGCTCATCGCACTTCTCAAAAAGTATTTATTTTCTTGGCAGCGTCACTGCATTGCGTGTTACACAGTTTACACACACATACACACAGAGCACTCACATACACTTGTGACCGACCGTTGGCACTGATACTGCCAACACCGCCGCCGCCATCGCCACCAACAAAGACTCGAATTGAGGGAAAGAACGCCAATCCCAAGCAATTATTTCGTCTGGCTTCAGCCATTGTATCGATATGGCACTTAAAGTTCTGCTGGATCCATTGAATCGATTAGTTTATGAATATAATTATTATCGACTAATCTGCTTATGCAAGCAGAACAAGCGTTTTTATTCGACAATTCGAGAAAATGTTCCGACTCAAACATATGTTTGGCTCACAAAGCGATTATAGATACATTCTCGGTACCATCAGCGCCAATTTCTTCAAGCGAACTATCTAATACATGATGTTATGGAATTGACATCGAAATAGATTTAGCGGTAGAAAGAGAGAGAGAGAGAGAGAGAGAGAGAGAGAGAGAGAGAGAGAGAGA